TTTATTGCTGTAAAAATTAATACTTTTATTATAGAATTAATATAATACAATTATCGACCAAATCTATATATTGCAAACAATTATACACATTGTTTTCCAAATAAAACTTTCTGCTATCGTTTAGATATATCAGCAAGCTCATAATGCCATAATAATTAATTAATTTGTAAATAATGGAGGTTTTAATTGAATTTATTATCTAAAAAAATTCTTTATATTCACAAAATATCGATAGTTGGTAGTAGAGATAGATTAATTTAAGTTATCCTTATAAATTCTCTGAAAAGAGTATCAATATAATTATAAAGGTAAAAATAATAATTAAGAGACCACGCCGCCGGAGGCGGTGTAATTTTTTAGGGGGGTAGGCAAAGGTTTTTAAGGGGGTTTGCATCCATTGAAAATCCTGTCATGTAGACGCTGGGGAGAGACATGGCAACCTTGCGTTGGTATAATATGATAATCGTATAAAATATATGGGTTTAATGTCACCTTTAAATCAGCACAAATCCTGATTTCTCCATTTGTTAGGCGTACGTTTACTGTTGGAGTAAACCATGTCATACGTTTTTTTGTTGGGTCAATCTCCTTCAATATTCCCGATTTAATCAATCTATCGAGTTCCATTTCAATTGGTTTTCGTATTGGAAAAGGTACTTTACGAGCCGGCCATGATTTCGGCCAGTTGAATACTAACTTCCATATAATTCACCCGTCATGGCTTGTCATCAAAAACACTGAAAAATTCTGTCGTCATGCCAGCTATTTGTTTATAGGTTGTCATAACCACTTTACTTGTGATACTACGTATAGTAACTTGGCGTGGGATAAACATATTAAATGCCAGTATCCATGGTAGTCCAAATATTGGTATGTCATTTGAACGGGTCACCACAATTGGTAGTGATCTGCTTATCTTTTCAAGACGAACCATTACCATAGTCTCACCAAGTTCATCCAGCGGTTGGTTACCATATACTGAAAAAGGTTTGGTTGGTACAAGCTTGAGTCGGCCAATTTCATCCCAATATTGTTTCCCAATCATCGATACCTGTGCCCCCGTAGCATAGTCAAATTCTATAGGTACTCCATTTATCCTAACAGATATCTTTGCACTATTTCTAACAATTTGGGAAATATTATTAATTGAATCTGATGAGTTATTGTCATCGTGATGCATAGCATGTAACTTCCGTTCCTTACAATATTCAGCATAATGCCCTACATTTTGGTAATTATAACATTTCACATTTCATACAAAACATTGAAAAGGGAGGTGAGTTCCTCTACATTTTGAGCATTCATTGTACTTACACATATCATTATTGTTAAATTTACTGTTATCTCTGAACTTAAAATTATTATTATTATTATTGTAATAACTAAAATTTCCTTTTTCTTTATTCTTATTATATGGGTACTTTTGATTATAAAATTTTCCTTGATTATTCTCTATCTGCTCCTCAGGTTTAATGTCTTTTTTTACCATCATATTTGTCACTTCATCCTCAGCCCTTTCCATTGCCAAAGCCATATTTAAAACCTGTTGAAAACTCACCCTTTCTCCCATGTCATTTATTCCATCTGGAAATCTGGTGCGAATATCTTTCACCAATGCTCCAGCCACCATCTGATGCCTCATCCCATCCAGGTCAGATTCAAATTAACACTCTTGTGCTAATTTTTTAAGTCGGTCTGCAAACTCCAACTGCTTCACCATACCCTCTTTCTATCCGAATAAACTTAATTCTCAAGCTGAATAACGTTGAAATGGGCTTAAATACTTTTTTACCCACTTCAATTATCTACTCATAATTAAGTTCTTTCAAAATTTTTGGATATACAAAAGAACTCTGCCAAATTAATTATCCCCATATAAGCAAATAATATTTTTTTATTGGTTAAATTATATATATTCAATATAATCTTGAAGGTTGTTTTGTTTATCATAATTTTCAAATTTCATATGTATAATATTATTTACTTGATTAATATTATTCGTTTCATTTGATATATTCAATTCACCACTAGTATAATTGGTTTATGTTCTTTATTCATAATAAGAACGTCGACAATCAGGGGCGTCGCTAGCCTTTGCAATCTCAGGGGGCTCAACTAAAGAAATCTTATGGCGGGCCGGAATTATACTTTTTTTAAATTTGCTAACTCTGAATAATTATTCTGAATTTCATATTTTTTCATTTATATTATGCATACAAGATAAACTAGCATATAAAACAATAAAGACATTTCTATTTAATACAAAATCTTTTATTACAGTATATAATATTTTCGATTGCTGATATAAAAATTTTTTGACAAATGGTAACTTACATTGACAAAAGGTCAAGAAACCAATATAACACTCTGTTACCATTTTTAGACAATGTTTTATAAAATGGACTAATAAGTAAAAATTTATAGGCCTAACCAAATCAACAATTCTTGGAAAAGAGAATATAAACGACCAATCCAAATCATAAAACTATATGGTGGTTAGAGCTTCCTCTTAACTGACATGATGGAAGTAGATAAGTAATTGAGAAAAAAATTGTGAGATATTAAATTTCTAAAAGATTATCTTCCATCTTTAATGATATATAAACAACTACACAGTTGACCATTATTGCTTATAAAATATGCAATATATGCTCTCAGCAGATGTAATGATAATCTTAAATTACATAGCCATACAAATATGTAATGCTGGTTAATTTGCAGTCATGTCATGACACATTAACTTATATCAGAATTTATTATGGTAGATAAATTGATAAATTGATAAAACAAAAACACTAAAAATCTTTAGAAGTGCAAATGAATTGAAGCCTTAAGTTATTTACAAGGCAGGGATGCCATATTAGAAATGAAACATTTTGTAACTATAAAATAAGAACCAGAATGATATGATATGATAAAAGAAATTAATTAAGATTTTATATATTATTGTTGCATTACCTCTAGTTGATATATTATATTTTAAAATAGTAGTAAGTAGTTTGTAAATAGTAGTAAGTAGTTTGTAATAATATCAAAAATATACTAGTATTAAAAATTTAATTCAAAACTGTTTTTCAAATAAGAAAAAAAATAGCTTTCCTAAAAAGAAAAACACGTAAAAAAGAGAAGAAAAGTTATCTAATTTATTACATCCATTCTGGAATAAATAATATGTTAAATTTTAAAAAATATTTCTAAATAAATAGATGGCGTTAAGTATTTGATAGCAATTTCTTACTTATATTTATTATCAAAAGTTTATTAGTAAAATTTATTAAAATATTAACTGTAATATATTATACGTTTGTAAAGTGCTATTTAACCTAATATTTTATAACCAATTATATATAGTAGAGGATTATTAACTATATGTTTACTTACTTTTTATAAATAAATCTCTTATCTTATTTGGATTTGGACCTTGAAAGTAATTTTAAGAAGAGGCATGCTAATTAAATTTAAATATCAATAATATAGTTGATTAGTGATTTTGAACTCGGCTAATTACAATTAAATTTGTTAATTTTCATTTAATATTTATTTAATTAGGGTTATATAATAATTTAAATCATAAAAGTCAATAAAGCTCCAACTGTTAATGCTAAATTAATATCTAGTGAGTGATATTAATATTCTATTTTTAGCACAGAATTTGATTGCAAGCTGACATAGTGAAAATATAATTTATAAGTATTAATCTAATCTAATAAATAAATAGTATTCATTTAAGAATAATTTAGATAGACTTATTAATTTTTAAATTATAAAATTAAATCTATATATTACTAAATAGAATTATAAAAGAAATTATTCAGTGGGCAATCAAAAAAATTTATTTTTAGTTCTAGGGGATATTAAGGAGCCATTAAAAAATTTTTTTTTTGCTTCAGGGGGCTATTCAAAATTTTGGGGGGGATGCCTTTGATCGTAAGACACTTCATCATATTTTTCGTCCAACTCGTCCAATTCGTTCAAAATGGAGATTAAGAAGTTTGAAGTGATAAAAATGATATTATCATTTGGAATGGTAAAAATTTAATTTTTAATGTATTATTATTATATTTAACAGGTTTGGAATGGTAAAAATGTTATTGATTCATTTGGAAAGGTATAAATGTTATTAATTCATTTGGAATGGTAAAAATTTAATTTTTAATGTATTATTATTATATTTAACAGGTTTGGAATGGTAAAAATGTTATTGATTCATTTGGAAAGGTAAAAATGTTATTAATTCATTTGGAATGGTAAAAATTTAATTTTTAATGTATTATTTATTATATTTAACAGGTTTGGAATGGTAAAAATGTTATTGATTCATTTGGAAAGGTAAAAATGTTATTAATTCATTTGGAATGGTAAAAATTTAATTTTTAATGTATTATTTATTATATTTAACAGGTTTGGAATGGTAAAAAAGTTATTGATTCATTTGGAAAGGTAAAAATGTTATTAATTCATTTGGAATGGTAAAAATGTAATTTTAAATGTATTTATTTATGTTATTATAGGATTCAATTTCTACAGCAAATTAAGAAGCATTTTATTATTCAAATATAGATTATTTATAATGTATAAGACAAATATTTATTATTTAAAATGTATAAAACAAAGAAACATGATTAAAATAAATATAAATTATTCAACATGTATAAAACAAATATAAATTAAATATTATCAAATACATTTGAATTGTATACTAATTTAATATAAGCTGATGATTTATCAGCCTCCAATTTATTAATAATATGATTATTATATTGTGTAGTCAGCTTTTCCAAATTTCTTTCTTTTAAGATATATTTGGAATTTGTTTTTTTAGAGTCATTCCTATGAGGTAATATAATGCCTAATAATTAAGTGATTATAAAATTTGATAACTTGTTAAACTTGATATGGCATTAAGAGGTTGCATGTTAGGTGTTACTAGGGGTTGAGATTGAGCAAATATATTATCTAAAAGTAATGAATATAAAAAGATAATAATTGATGATACTAGTTAAAGTTGGTTGAGAGTTTGTGACAAAGAACTGAGACTGAGTAAACATATTGCCTAAAAAAAATTGATTATAGAAATTTTATTTTGTGAAACTTGATATGGTATTAGCAGACTGCATGTTGGGCATTGCTAGAATTTGAGATTGAGTAAGCTGATAGTCTAAAACTATATTGATTTTAAAAATCTAATATTTTATGAAACTTGATAATGAAGGTTGTATAATTTGTTGAGATAATTGGAATTGAGTTATTGGTTGACTATCAGACATAAGTAAGGTTATTGACTAAATAATAGGTGTTATAGTGAATTATCTATAAAACTTACCAATAGGGGATTTACATTGTTCTAAGGTATGATCCTGAGTTTCTGTGAACTTACTGATTGAAAAATACCCCGTCCAGAACAACTTTTTCTTCTACATAGGTAATATGATTTGGAATTAATTACTCTATGCAATTTATATTCCAAATCATTAAAACATAGAATATCATGTCCTCTTTTGGATTTTTTATTAGTAATTTTGTTTTCTAAAATTACATTACTAAATTGATTATATCTAGATTGTTAACATTGAATTATATTGGGATTAATTCTTTTCTCAAGAAGAATTGTGATATTGTTTGATACCGTTTTAATTTCCATTACAATGATTATAAATAAAAATATTTTTAAACTATTACTTTTCCCGCACTTTAATGAACCAATCACAGAATTGGACGAAACTTTACGATGAAGTGTCCATACGATCATAGGCACGGAAATCAAAATTTTCAGGGAGCTCGAGCCCCTGCGCCCCCCCCCCCTAGCGATGCCACTGAATAATAGAATTTATCTCATTTCCAGAATTGTAGTATATTGTTATTAGAATAGTTACAATAATATATTCAATTCTAATATATATTATAATATAAATTATTATATAATAAAATGTAGTTCAATATCTTTATTACTCCTATGCCATAGTAGCGACGAAGAAAAGTCAGAATAAAAATAAAAAAAGGGAAAACCCAAAGCAAAAATGAAAACTATAAAAATTATGATATAAATGAAATCTTATATAAAATCGGCACAAATCTACAATATCTATCGAAATAAACAATTAAAAAAGCCACATATATCAATATTTGACAATATTATCTATCATATAACATTAAAAGTGTCAGATTTAACTGTTTAAATTGCTGACAGATTTTGTGCTGACAGATTTTGTAGAATTTTAGTCAGTTTTTTTCACAACTAAAAATGACAGATATAATAAGCGATGAAAATATAGTAGCAATTGCAATCAATATTTTATATTATTTTTGTTAAGTCACAGGAAAGTGATGAGGATCACAGAGATAATTGGGATGATACTTTGCTAATTCAAGCATGGAATCAAAGTTGGACTAAAATGAAAGTTTACTATGTAAAAAATACAATTTATTATTTTTATTATAGAAATCTATAGCTAATGATATTAATATACCATTGATTAACAAAAAAAACAAAATAAAAAAATCAAATAATCGTAAATATGAAAAACAGAAACAAACAAAGCAGGAGAAGAAGACAATATCAGTAATAATATTTTTTATAGATATTACTTATATAATTTAGTGGCATATTGATGATTTATGTATTGCCATTTGGGAAGAAGATGGTTATGAGTATATTGCAAAGATATTGAGTATAGATGACGATAAAGGTTGTTGCAATGTAATATTTCTTGAATATGGCAATGAAGACAAAGTTTATTTGAATAAACTCAAAGCAGTCAAGGTAACCTAAATCATGTAAATTAAATCATATGAAACATAGGAAAGTGTGTCTAAGAATAATGATGAAAAGATGAAAAGTAAATTTGTGAATAATATTTAGTAAATTTATTTCAAATATCAAATACAACCAATTCAGTCTCAGAAGATGTTTTAAATGACATAGATGCAATTGATCAGTCAATTTCATCATCATCTATATCATTAAGTGCACATTTATCATCAAATAATAAAACATTAAATACTTTGGATGATTCAAAAGATAAAAATTGTTTTAATCCATCAATGATGAAAAAAGAAGTAAACAATGATGATTATGAGAGTGATAAAAGTTCATGCGCTCATTCTATTGAGAATCCTCTAGTAAATTTATATAAATCTAAAGATATTTTATATATATTTTATAATTATTTAAAACTTTTTTTCATAATACACCTAAATTGATCTTATAAATCAGTGTTGTCAAAGGTAGTGCTCTATTTTAGCACACTATTCTTTCAGTAATAGTAGCTTTAACAAACTACATTTAAAAGCATAGTGATAGTGATAGCTTGCTGCTTTTAATTTTCTATAATAAATATGAGTAAAAATTATTAAAAGATATTTATAATTAAATTCTAAAATCATAATTTTTGTTTGAAATTTATTTTTAAAATATGCATTATAAATCTAGTTTTCAAAAAATTAAAAAATTAAAATGCCACAATAGAAGATTGTAGTGAAGATAATTTGCTACATATCATGTCTGTAGTATTTTGACCAGGCATTTTAGTCATAAAATTAATTTACAGAAAGTCATATATTTATTTTTAACTAAAAATAATTGTACAAAATATTATTATCAAAAAAATAAAATTGACGAAAAAAATATTGCATATATAGTAAATATTTTACAATCAAACAACAACACAATCTCAATAAATTGTTATAATAATAATTTCATGTAATCTACAATCTCAAAAACTGGCTAGGACCACTTTTAAGTGAATAAAATATAATATCGTAAAAAAAGAAATATAATTAGGGTACTATTAAAACACAAGAGTATTGTTATAATATTAATTTTGGGTAATGGTCAATCTCGAAAACTGGCTAGGACCAGTTTTAAGTGAATAAAAATATAAAAACAGTTTGTACAAAATATCGTACCAAAAAAAAGAAATAATTAGGGTACCATTAATACACAACAATATCAACAAAGTAGATTCCCTGGAAAATGATGATAATATTGAATTTCCTTTTCCTAAATTCTATTTTAATCTCAATTAAAAAAATGAACACAGGGTATTAATTTTGTTATAAGATGTGCCAGAAGGTTTTATCATCAAACAAGACTAGTAGCTTCAACTTGAGAAAACATTAGGTAATATAGTAAACAAATTTAATAACAATGTGTAGCTTAATCCTTAATCTTTAAAATAAAATTTAATCAAACCTATATCTATAATAGTTTTTGTGCTAGATGAATTTATGTGGTTAATGTTGATTTTCTGGCCCAGTCCAAACATGGTATGTTTCAACTGGCCATATGATATTATTTAAGAATTGTATTATAAATTAAAAACTACAATAAATAATTAATATTAACATCTCATTTTATTATCAGACTTATCTATTTAATGATAATATTTTATAAATTATAAACTTTATTATCTGGATGCTAAACATAGTTGCTATTATTTACCCTAGTTTCAAGTTGAATTGGCCATATATTGAATCCAAAGCACAACTTGATAGACTAATGGTAATGTTAAATAATACTATACTAAAATAGGATACCCTACTCAGATAAAAAACGCCACCTACTATAAGATGATTTTTTTGAAATATATACCGAAAATTCTCTAGACTCATTTTTTAAATAAAAATGCTCAAATGAATATTTTTGATGATTTTTCTTATATATAAAATGGAAAACTGCATTGCCCTCAAATGCTAGTGTTGAACGATTATTTAGTCAGCAAACCTTATACTTTCTGATCTCTCTAGACCTGGGGATGACAATAGAAATGTTATTTTTAAAATGCAATAGAAAAATTATATATATTTGAAATTAGTCATATATTTATAAATATTTTTTATTTTTGGAGATTGTAGAAAATATTTCAAAAAAAATTCTAAAGTAGCTTTCGCGACATTTTTTTAAAGTAGTTAATCACACACTACTTTTTGAAAAAATAGCAGTGGCAATGTGCTATTGTAAAATTATCTCAATATTTTAATTACTCAAATAGTAAATTATAAAAGTAATAAATTTATATATAATTTTTGTCTGATTTGAGATTATTTAAACTTATTCAAAAGTTTGCAGGATGTTCTCCCCTTAGTAAATCAGCCAGTTTTGGTAAATATTATTTGTATAATAAAAATCCAGTATCACCCCTACTCTCCCAAAAATTGAATGTAATATGCAGGCGTGTACGCAGGAATTTGGTCTGGGGGGGGATAATAAAATTTTTTAAGAAATATTATTGTTAATTAAAAATACTAAGCATAAATTTATTAGGACTAATAATTTTTCTATACACAATTTTAAATTAATGTGAATTACAAAAAAATTATAATATATAAACCGGCATTGAAAAACTATAATCACTTAAATGACCCTAAATTGAAATTTGAATTTTTTGAGCCTTTAAAATATATAAAGTATTAAAAATTGAAATGTTGGAAATGTAAATTAACACACAAAAAGTTTCTTAGGATAATTCTATTTTGTATGTTTTAAGCTAATTTTTCAATATCTATCCTTGCTTGGCGTTAAATGCCTATGAATATTCAAAAGATCCAAATCATTCAATCTACTTTCAGAAGTTGTATTTCATAGGTATGTTTTTCAGAGACTTGCAGACCAGGCCCCCGAGGTGGTCCGTAGCCCGAATATTTTTTTAAAAAAAAACCCGGGCTGGGCCTGACAATTTTTTTTAAAAAATATCTGGGCCGAGCTCTATTTTAAAACCAAATATTTGAAATCGCCATTATTAGCTATAAAAATCAAAAATAAATATAATTTATTTTTAAAAATTCGGGCCGGGCTTGAAAATTTTATTTTCAAAAAAGCCGGGCCAGGCCTGAAATTTTTTAAAAAGAAAACCCAGGTCGAAAAAAATTTTTAAAATAAATCTGTGGCAGGGCTCTGTTATTCTTCTTAAAAAAGAGAATGTTATCTTATTAGTTTACTTATGGGAAGAGTTGCTAATATATATAACCATTTTAATACATTGGTAATATAATCTAAAATGTGTTTGAAATACTGCAAAGCATCCATAGCATTTTTTGGGACTGTATCAACCATAGTTAATCTTTTAATCATAGTTATTTAGCTAATAAGGCAACATAAGATATTTTAACATCTTCATGATAAAAATTTAATAAATATTTTTTTTCCTATCACCATCTGAAAAAGGTTGGAAAGGCTTTTGTGGAAGTAATATTTTCGGATTTTTAAGTGCTGCATGATGAATTAAAAACCATTCATTTATTTGGGTTATAAATGTATCTAAGAGAGGGGACATTTGTTTCTACTGATCCTATATTAATGTTTTGACGATGTTCTTGCTTGCTGCAAGTCGAGAGGTACAAATATTAAACACATATAGCTCTGCTTTTGACTCAACAATGACATATAAAATATGAAATTCTTCATCAACATTAGCTCTAATTTCCTTGAGTTCTAATTAAATGCTCTACGCTATTCTCATCTTCTTAATCAAGTCAATGTCATAGTTTTATAATTTAATAATACATTCTAATGAGAAAAAAAATTTGGAATAGGTATTGAATCCAATAATTTTCTTGCTTCTGAGGAAATATTTCTTTCAAGCCATTGTGATATTTCAGTAATAGCATTAATAATCGGCTCTTCTAGCTCTATAAAAGCTGTTACTTATTGATGGCGGAGACTCGATCTCGTTGGACAAGCTTGCAATTTCTTTCTCTCTGTTGGACAAGAATTTCAGAGATATTTATTATTTGACTAGAAATTTAGATAAATAATACGCCACTAAAATTTGAAAATAATAGGTAAATTACGCCAATGAAAACTTGAAATCGAAATTAATTGATAAAATAACTTAGTAGATGAATGTGATAAATAAATGTAATTAAATATATATATAGGAATAAATATTAACAAATATAAATTAATATTAACAATAAAATATAATCCGGCATCTGCATTTTTTGGCTTGGGGGGATCTGCCCCCCCACGCTGCGTACGCGCCTGGGAATATGGTATTATAAGCATTAATTTTCTAAAACTATGATTATAAAATTTTGAGGAAAAAAGTGTAAAACCAAAATAATTTTATTTAAAATGAAATCCGGCAAGGCTTTCATAGAGGGAGTCTAAAGCTATCCAATAAGATTAATGATGAAAAATCCACCTAAAGGTCTCCTTCCCTATTCGAAAATCATGGATATGCCTGAAAGCCTATATATCCAGTGAGCTAATTTTAAAATTATGATTTGCACTATATTTGTAACATAATAGCCATTTACCTGCACAAAGTTATATTCATTTTAAAAATTATTGCCATGGCATTTAATCACTATTTAAAAAATAATTTACATTCTTGCATAATAAAGAGCCTTAAAAAGGTAGACTCAAATCTTTTCGAAGTCGATAAACTACTAATGTCCGTTAAGGACTCTACTAAACACTATAGTCATATTTTCAAAATTTAAATTATTTTAATTGATGGCTTTTAATATTAACTAAACTACGAACCCATTAAATCCACTTTCTTATTGAATGCTTTTACTTTTATTTAACATAGAATACACTTAATACTGGTCCACAAAATTTGCATTTCAATAATGGTTTGCTAAATCACAATAGCGTTTCAAATAGTGATTCTAATACCACTTTCAATACATTTCCCCCCTTCCATTTTAACCCTCTGCTTAATCCCAACCCTGGATCTGCAAATAAAAATGAAGACTCCAACATCTTAGACGACAATGAAGCTCTGGCGCAGATGCTTATATCTTGGTACATGACCGGTTATCATACAGGATTTTATCAAGTTTTTAAATTATTTTTCCTAAATTTAATTTCAAATATTAAAATAATTATGATTATATTTTGTTTTAGGGTATAACACAGGCGAAAAACGCAAATCACAAAACCCAACATGTCAATTTCAACACCAGTAATAAGAAAAAGGAATTTTGACTTGATTATTTCATATAAAATATCAAATGATAAAACTAACTCATCAATATCTCTGTTTTATATTAACATAAATTATTTCTCACCTTTTTTAAATTTGTACAATAAATTGAAACAATTAGCATTTATTAATTACTTCTGAGTTTTTTTAAAAAATATTCTTAGAAGTTTGCTGTCATATACAATAATTTAATACATAAAAAAATATATAGTGTACTATGACTATCAATTTAAACATTATTTAAAGTACTCTTACAATTATAAGATATTCCAAAAAATGAAACTAAAATTTTTATCTCAAATCTAAATAAATAGATAAAATTATATTTCCGTTTTTTTTTTGGACTTTTAAAATTTTATTATACCTTTTAGCCAATAAAAAAATTATAGATATGATTCATTTTATTAAAATCAAATTTATTGCATTATTGAATGGAATCAAGAGATGCCTAGGGTTGATAATGTCTGTAAAACCCATCTGTCTAGAATCACATATCATGTCAGAAACGGATATGATAGACTTAGCCTCATGATGGACTTCTTGGTAAGCCTAGCTGCTGGAAAGAGATGGGGAGGTGACAAAAGAGATGTCAGTAAACCATTTCTTTATGCTGAAACCCTCGAAGATGAATGAAACCACATCAGAGGTGCTATATAGGTGTTTATTGGCGTTTAGGATATCATATGACGAAGGAGAACTGTAAGGATTGCTATTATTTGTTTATGAGGACACAGATCCCGTATCATTAGGAGAGAAGATCTGGCGCCTCAGTTCCCTAAGGTATTCGTGTACCCTTCTAAGCCATTATAAAAGAATTTCACTTAGTACTCCAATTGAGCAGATATTGCTAAACAAGGTTGGTTGGGTCATTCCACGTGAAATCGATCAGGTTTTGTTGACCTTTTTTAAATAGAAATAAACTTTGCAGTATGATTATAGAATTGCATAGGTTTCGCAATTTAATTTTAAAATCTCTAATTCAATAAGTTTCCTCTATGGCAAATCAAAGCTAAAAAGGTGGCATGGGCGTCCTTCCTAATTTGGAAACACGATAAAAATAAAGATTCTAAAATATATAAATGATATCCTATATTTGGTATCATTAAATAGCCCTTGAACTCCTTTTTTAAAAATAATTAAAAAATTTTAAAAAACTTAGATTTTTTTTTATTTCCGGAATAGATAAAGGTTGATTTTTTAATATGTACTTGAACATAAAATTATCTAAAGATTATATGTTTATTAAATCAATATAAATTTATATTAAAAATTAAGTTGGAACATTATTTTTTTAAATTTTATTTTTCTAATTTTTTATTCGATAAAGAAAGTCATTAATCGTGGTGTTCTAAAAATCAAAATTAATATTTATTATGTATATAATTTAAAAAAGAACATTTACTTAATTTTGAAATATATATTTTTCTGGTTTCCATTTTGTTGGGTTTTTAAAAAGTTTGTATGTAAGTGTATAAAAGTACACACTGTTGCTGTTAGGTAATTTACAATTCCTATAATGTTGACAGGTAAATAATTTATTTTCACTGGGAAGAAAAATGAAGGATGGGGAGGACCCATGTGGATGCAGAAAGCTAACCCACACTTCTTTAGCCATTTCATTTTTTTCTACAACAACCACCAAAAGTTATACAAACAAGTTACATAGGCATTAATATCATTCATTCTAAATCTTGTATCATGATGTAATATTTTCCACTTTACCTTAATGAGTATTTCAATTCAATAAATTTTTGTTTCAATAAGACTTAGTGGAATAACCGCATGTATATCTTCGTGCTTTACCAAATCTTCTACAATTGAATTTCTTTCATTTGTATGTTTAATAATGATTTGATGGCTAAGAAATTAGAAATTAAATTGTGCAAAAGATTTAGTAAAGCACATGAATTGGCACGCAAAAGATACATGTGATTATTATATCCGGTCTGAGAATTATTGAAATAAAAATTTATTCAAATTCTCAAGAAGGTAAGGGATATTATTTATCAAGGTACGAGATTTAGAATGAGTGGTATTAATGATTATGTAACTTGTTTTATGATAGCTTTTGGGGTTAGTTGTAGATAAAAATCTTGCAATTTAGTTTTCAGAATCCACATGGACCCTTTTCATCCTTTATTTTTCCACTTAATGTTAATAAATTGTATCCCTCTTTCAATATCATTCTATTGTAGATCACCTAACAACGACAGGGTTTACTTACATCCTCAGATATAGTGTTGCAAAGTCGCTTCATCTGAGCCGATTTTTCAAACGGCTAAGTATTTTATACAGAATAATATTACGCAAGTCTGAAAATTTTGCTCATAGATCCATTAGTGAAATCTCGAGGTCTAGGCAATATTTTTCTGGGTAAAATACTGAGTTAGTCGTTTTTAAATATGAAACGATTTTGCATCAATACACAGATGTTTTAAAATCTACCACTGATTAAGAAATTATTTTTATTTCAAAATTAAGTGAATGTGTTTTTTTTAAATTATATTAAGCTAATAATTTAGATTTTCATAGAACATCGCCATCTATAATGACCTTTTTTATCGATAAAAATTTTTTAAATTTACTAAAAAACAATGGTTATCTCCAACCTAATTTTTTTCAATATAAATGTATATTAATTAAATTAAATACCAATTTTAAGAAAATTTTATGTTCTGAAAAAACACCTGAGATTTAAATAAATAAACCGCAGAATTACAGACATTTCTTGCTCTCTGATCCTATTGCAGGCATTGAATGATCTCTATAACCGAATAGTGTGGGGGTCTACCACATCAATTTTTTCCATTATTCTTTAGAGCCAGACTAATTGCCTTACAAAAGCTAGATTAAAGCATCTGCCCAATTGCAAAAGGATTATCTAAAAAATTATATGTAAGCGTATAAAAAGCCCCTTATCAGAAGGTTTGGAATTAAAGGGGAATGAGAAAAAATAACAAACCACACGGCAAGGATTACTTTGGATATCCATGCTTCAGAACATGCATTCGTCAGACTTGACATAAAAAATGCCTACAATACTTTAAATCGTAATTATTAATCGAAATCTTAGACGTTTACCCAGATTATTTCAACTATATCCAGTCAAACTATTGTACCTCTACGATATTGCGACATAACACTAATTATTCTTTCAGCACAAGGAATTCAACAAGGTAATTCACTTGATCCGCCTTTATTCGTGCTTGGCTTTAAACAACAACATCCAAAATTTAAAAACCAACTTGTTATATTGAATAATATATTTGTCATACAATAATATAACGTATTTATAAAAGGTCAATTAAATTGAATACTTATAGAAATTAAATTAAATAATTATAGAATAGTATAAGAATTAAAAATAAAAAACTATTGACCATATATTTTATGAAGTTTCTTAAAGATATAAAATTGGTGACGAAATAAAAAAAAACATGGTCTTCGGTCAAGTTAAATATTAAATAGAAATGTATATTTTTTTGTTTTTAAAAAAAATATATTATTAGATTGTGATATTTTAAAAATTACATTAAACGAATTCTGTAAAAAGGAAACATCGTTAGGTGATTATTTGGATTATATTAAATATATTTTGGATGTAAATAATATTCCACAAACAGACGCTACTTTGAAAAAATTATTCATAGCATATAGTGGAATAAATATAATAACAGATATAAAAAAAATTACTATTTCCAAGGAAAATTGATGATGTGGGATAGGCAGATTTATGTAAAGTCGCTTTAAAGACGAAAGAAATGTCTTGGCATCAAAAATTAATTTTATTATATTAAGTCACGGACTAACAGAATCAGTAATGAGTTTTTTAAAAAAAAAGGAACTAGCCCGAGGATGTTAATTTGAAGATAATATAGAACAACGAATTCGTGATCAATTAATCGCAGGATTAAAGATGCCGCAACTAGATAGAGAACTAAGTTTAAGATATTCAGATACTATAGACGAAGAATAACCGTTTAGCTTAAACTAGATTATAGAAATGGCTTTAGCATGGAACGGCCGACTTAGAAATAAATAATAAATACTAAAATAGTTTATAAAATCAAAGAGACGATTAAATATAATAATCTTAATAACTGATTAAATTAAAATGATAATTATAATCTACAGTATAATGATAATAGGCAGTATCAAAATGATAATAAAACATATGTAAAAAGAGAACCAGTTCAACTTTATAATAACTACCCCGCAAATAATAATAATACAAGAAAACTGGGCTATTTTTGGTTTTTATCCTATTCGGAATTGTCCAGCATACGAAAAAATGTGCAAAAATGTAAGAAATTAAACCACTTTGCCGTGTGTTGTAAAATTGAATAGAAAGTTTACGGTACAAATTACAATAGTAACGACGAAGATTCAGATTTCTCAATAAAAAAAGTCTACAAATCTGGACAGCACCCAACATTATGCTATTAATAAACAACCACGAAAATAAAATGGAATATGTACAGGTTCAGCAGTAACCATCATTAATGCAACAATATGGAATAAAATTGAAAGGTCAAAACTAAGATGGGTTAAAGCTCCACCTACATATGGAAACAATACAATAAAAACTATGGGAGAAGCTTAGGTAAAAGTTCAATTAGATGATAAAATTTTATGGCTTCCGTTATTAGTTACAAAAACAAATGATGCAGCGCTATTTGGATTTCCATGGCCTATAGAATTTGATCTATTGTTACCAACCAAGGTAAAAGTCAATATGATCAGCAATAAATATTATAATAATGATAATGGAAACGTTAATATTGAAAAGCTATATAAAGAATTTGCTACGGTGTTTGATAATAAATTAGGATTAATAAAAATGTTAAACCAGAAATTACCATTAGAAGAAAATACAAAACAAATAGCTCTACCAGCAAGAAGAGTCCCATTTCTAAAATAAGAAATTGAAAATGAACTGAAACGTTTGGAAGAAAATAGCATAATAAAGAATAGATTCATCAACAACAAGAGTAACCTGGAGTACTCCAATGGTAGTGGTACGTAAATTCAGGTGAACTATGATTATGTGGTGATTTCATAGTAGTATTGAATAAATTTTTACTAAAAGACTATCACATTAACATTTGATGAATTAATCGCAAAGATCGCTAATAGAAATAAATATATAACAATAGATCTAAAAGATGCATATCTACAAATTGGTATTGATTATCAAGAATAATAATTATGGTGAC